TTTAATTTCAAGTTTTGCTCCATGGCGCAATCCATCGATACTACTGCTGTACAAAAGTATACATTTTTTAAAAGGCTAGAGGGTGGGGCAGTCTAGCTTGGTCAGTTTCACGAGAGGCGAGGGCCTTTGTGATTTGACGGCTCATTACTGCTAGAAGGCGGGGCCTTGTGATTTGACTGCTCGTATAAATGCGCCGACGACTTGATCGAGGAGGAGCAAAGAACCGTGCGGTATACTCAAGTTTTCCACTGGAGTAGTACTGCGACAGAGGAGCATGAAACACAGTAGCCCAGTGCCATATGGCGATAAAAATGATCTAATTTGCTAGTCATCTCATTGTTAGCATTGCTCTATTCATTCCCTCAAAAAAAAACCATTGTTCTATTCATGCCTCGCAGAGAACGTGACACGTGCGGCGAAACACCCGAAGCAAAAGATGAAACACAGGAGCAAAAGAAAAAGGAAGATTATCACCCCAAATGATCTCATTCGCCGCGGAGTCGTAACTGCTTCTTCATCTCCTCCACGACCTCCATCTCCTTGCGCGTCTCCTCCGCCATCTTCTTCATTCTGTCCATGACGCGGGATTTCTCGACACGAGCCTTCATCATCTGTTCCACGGCCGCATTACGTACCTTGACAGCAGCCGGGTGCTCGATGCGGAGCTTCGCCAACTCCTCCTTCTGTTCCATGACGAGGGCCTGCAGCATCTTCATCGAGGAACTACTATTCTCATGCAGCTTCTTCCAGTCGGCATTCTTCTCCTTCAACAGTTCGATCTCGTGGCAGAGCTTCGCCTTGTCCTCCTGAAGTCGCAGGATTTCACCGGTCGCCTTCTTCTCCGAGGCAATGCTCTTCTTCAGCAGCATCACCAAGCCGGCGGTCAACTCCCCCTGCTGATTGAGCTCAGCGGGCATGTCGTCGAGGCTCTCCTTCAGCAACTCCATCAAGCCTTGGATGAACTCCTTCTGCTTATTGAGGTGCTTATTGAGCTGATCGGGCATGCCGTCGAGGGATAACGACTCCAGCTCCGTCGGCTCGGCATGTTCGCCTCCGCGGCTCGGGCGCTCCTGGGAGCCATCGCCTGCCCGTGAGAGATCTTTTGAGGTCTCTGCGTGGCGGCGAGCCCTATCTTTTTTTCCACAGCCTTGGTTGCCGCTCCCTTGTTACGAGTAGTTCTCGACCTAGAGCTCTGCTCACCGGCCATGGCAACGACGGACGAAGAAGAAGCACTTATGAGGAGGAAAGGTAGAGTAATTTTCGGTTAGGTAGTTCCCCTTTTTATAACCAAAGTACTGGCACTAGTACTAATACCTGCATAGTGGGAACACGTTCAGGTTTGGTACATACTAGTAGGTGTGAGCAGGCTTTCGAATGTGATGGGAACAAGGTAAAAATTAATTGATGGTTTTGATTTCGAGGCCCGAAACGGCTCCCGATGAGTTTAGCGGAACATAAATTTCAAGTTCTACACTGCTCAAATGCGTAAATATTATATTACTATCAAAAATTGGCACAAAATATGAAGGAGACCAATGGAAGTACTACTAGCAACCCACGATTTAACTACTCGCATGCGCGCAGTGGAGTAATAATGTCTTTCTTCCGCCCTCATGTCCACTCAATTTGCATGCGCTGTATTAATTGACCATCAATGAAGTGAACGACTTTACACGTGTCAAATTATCACATGGGGTGGATCTTGGTACAAAATTGCGTCCACCCGTGTACCCGCGTGTGCGTGCGAGGGAATGAGTGCATGCGTGGCGTGCATGCACATCTTCGCTTCGTGCATGTACCGCCAGTATGGCTCAGGGAGGACGAGTACATTCTTCTGGAACCAGCGGCACGCCACTGTGATCAATCCACGCAAGGAGGTCGCGACAACGCCTCCACATGTGCCACGTGGCTTCATGAACTGTAAGAGAGACACTGTGTAGCGTGCCATTGGTATTCTAATTTACGTGTTTTGCACATACTCGAAGTACTAGTAAGGTACACGTGCATTGCATGCATCAGATTTTGCAACCAAATTATGAATAAATACCACACTATAGCATGTAAGCTCTGAGTCATATATGCCTGATGTAGCCTTTCGTTTAATTCTTATAGTTCATCTCATTCAGAATCAATTAGTTTTTATAAAAAAGCTAAGAACACGGGAATAGGAAAAACATGGGATTATAGTGGAATGTCGTCTTGAATCCTACAGGATTGTACGAGTGTTTGACTGTGCATAGAAAAAACGCATAATTCTTTCAAAGAGGTTTGAGTGGATGGGATGTTTCCTATGAAATCTAGTGCAAATGAATCATATGGAAAAATTCCTATGGTTTACAATCCTACGAATCAAACAACCAAGATAGGAAAAATTCCTAATGATTAGAATCCTCCAAAATTCCTTTGAGAATCCTTTGAATCAAAGAAGCCCTTAATCTATTTTATGATTCATGGAATTGTGCGTTGTAAAGCATAAAGTAAAAACAAATAATGGCAATTCAACTAGAAAAAAGTTTGGGCAGTTATGATACGGAAGATTCTAGAACAAAAGAGAACCACTGTTGTTTTGAGGTTTGTGCATTATGCTTAAGTTCAACCATGGAGTCTGCTAGATTGTACATGTGGCAAAATCCGGTGGGGGCTAGAAGATGGTGCGAGGGGCCGAGTGGAGGGAGACTATGAAGGAATGCACAAGTGCGAGATCGATATTTAGAGAGAGGGGGCTAACACGTGCCTTGTTGCGCGCAGTGGCGGAGCCATGAAAAATAAATGAGCTAGGGGGCCAAGCATTGCTAATCCTTTACGAGGAGGGTCAATTCATGAACTTAAACCATTTTTAGCAGCAATTGTCTAATGATCACATTCTTATTAGCCTTGATATATAGTGATGTTAGGGGGGAGGGGGCAGGGCCCTTACTGCCCCATGTCTTCGCCATTGTGCACGCGTCTGAGAGATAAAGAGGAAGGCATGGATGATGAGAGGGGGACGTTGGATATATAATTAATGTGGGTGTATTAGCTGTATACGTTAATCCTATATAGAGAGGTATAGATTGATCGATGTGGATGTGGGAAAGAGGGTGAGACCTCACTGGATATATCGATTGATCGGTTTGTGTGGAAAACTATGAAAGACGTAGCTATATACACACATACATAGAGGAACATCGATCGTTGCGCATGCACGTGTGAGAGATAAAGAATGTCCGATATGATGGAGAGGGGGATGTGTGTGGGTGTGTGCCTTCATGGGAGACCGACCTGAAGAAAAAGATTGCATGTGTGCGATGGATAATGCCGACTGGTAGTGTGTGTGCATGCATGCACGAGAGAAAGTTAGTGATACAATTATAAAGAAAGGACTACTGTGTGGGTGTAAAAGAATAGGTGAGGTCATAATCAATGTAAAGTTGAATTCAAATATTTGAATAAGAGATCCTGATGTTTGAAACCCATGCATGCATGAATATAACGGAGATCTGCGCTGTGTGGTTTGGAAACGAGCATGTTGTAATGTATACACATTGAACAAGGTCAGACTGATTTAAATTTGATATACCGATGGCAGACATCATTTGGCCACGTCGCATCCTTGCATGGACACACTATTATAATTGGAGATGATGGGTGGCTTTCGCATCACATATCTATATCTATACCCCTATATGTATATAGGGAAAAGCATGGCTATTGCCTTACTCACTAGAGGTGGCAATCTTAGACACATGTTTACTTGGGATCCGGTCCACTCTCTTTCCTTCTAAACATTTCTTTCATTTCAAGTTTTTTTTGAGGGGTAACTGGGATTTTATTCAAAGCTCATAAAGTTTGGGATACAAGCAATATCAGGCGTAACACCCAGCCACACATGGCGTCCAACTGACAGAGTTGAGGCTCCCTTCGCTAACGAGTGAGCTTCAAAGTTGGACTCTCTAAACTCAAAACAAAAGCTAACAGAATCAAAATTAAGACTAGTGTGCTTTATCTCTCTCAGAATCACCGCATAGGACGGGAAAGCTTCATTCTTGATGTCTCTGACCACTTCATAGCAGTCCGACGCGATGGTCAGGTTACGAAGGTTCAGATCTTCAGCTAATGCGAGTGCTTCGCTGCAGGCTAGGGCTTCCAAGGTCGTTGGGTCCGTCAATCCAGCCATTACCACTGCTGAAGCACCCAAGAAAACACCCGCACCATCTCTGCATATAGCTGCTGCCACCCCTTTCTCTCCCAAAGTTGACAGGCCTCCATCTACATTTATTTTAGCTGAACCATCTGTAGTAGGTATCCATCTTCGCTGCCGCTATTTCATCGCCTGGGGCACGCTGGTTACTGACTTCTTGTTCGATGCAATCTGAAGCTCTTCCAGATAGTTATTGATGAAACCCATAGTGGTTAGTGGACTCTGGAATTGATTGTCATGAAAGGCACGCCGCCGCGCCCACCATATAGCCCACATGGTAATCAGTACACGCGCCAGCTCTTCCTCCTTCATTGTATCAAACAACCAGAAGATCCACATCTTTGCATCGTCCATTTGGTTTGATATAACATGCTCCAAAGTTCCTTCATCCCCTAACGCCCAAACACATCTCGCCATCCGGCAATTCATGAGGGAGTGTCGCCACGTATCAAGAGCATCATTGCATATAGAGCACACGGGCGAGACTGCCATCTTCCTCTCATGCTTCAACGCGCCCGTCGGGATCGATGTATGTGCCAGCCTCCATACAAAAATACGGACTTTTGACGGGATCTTGACATTCCAGAGCGACGACCATGATTTCTTTGTTGCTTGTGTGTCAGATGTGCTCGGTCTATGCTCTAGCCAATCTTCTCGTTGCTTCTTCACAGCAGATAGCATCTTGTACGCCGAACTCACAGAGAAGATCCCTCTCTTCTCATAATGCCATTCATAAAAATCTTCCTGAACTCTTGTGCTTATTGGTATGTTCAGAATTACTTCCACATCAGGCGCAATAAAATGTTCCTGCAACACTTGTCTATCCCAGGTTCTGGTGGCTGGATTTATCAGACCGTGCACAGATTGGTCTCAGCTTATAATTCCTCGGTAACCAGTTTTCAGACCATATATGCGTGGTTTCGCCCGTTCCTATCCGCTTGATAAGGCCAAGCGAAAGGGTATCTCTTCCTTCCAGTAACGAGCGCCAAACCTGTGATGGGGATGTACCCAGGGTGGCGTCTAAAAGATGACAGTTGGGGAAGTATCTGGCTTTTAACACACGGGCACTCAACGACCCAAGTTCTTGTATTATTCTCCATGCTTGGCGAGCTAAGAGCGCTAGGTTGAAAAGCTCAATATCCCTAAACCCCAAACCTCCCATAAATTTGGGCAAAGTCATAGTTTTCCACGACACCCATGCTGTTTTGCGTTCTCCCTTCTTACTTCCCCACCAAAACTTCCGGATTAATCCGTTTATATGCTCACATAGACCTCGTGGGAGTTTGAAACAAGCCATGGAGTACGTCGGAATTGCTTGTGCCACGGATTTGATAAGAACTTCCTCCCCCCCCCCCCGACAAGCATTTGGCCATCCACCCTTGAACATGCTTCCATATCCTATCCTTTAGGTATCTGAAACAGCCCTCTTTTGCCCTTCCTACATCGGTTGGGAGGCCCAAATACTTCTCTGAAAGCGCCTCATTCTGAACCTCCAGAACAGCCTTTACATCAATTCGAAGAGATTCTGCAACTCCCTTACTAAAGAAAATCGAAGACTTACTCACATTTATCCTCTGTCCCGAAGCCTCACAATATCTCCTTAAGAGATCACGTACCCGTGTTGCACAGTCCGTGGATGCCTCGAAAAAGAGCAAACTGTCATCGGCAAAAAGGAGATGACTAACCCCCGGTGCCGAATCTGCAACAGCCACGCCTCTTATTCCTTCTGATTTAAGCAAGCAAGATAAACCCTCGGCCGCCAACAGAAACAGGTAGGGGGATATAGGGTCTCCCTGACGTAGCCCCCTTGATGGGTTAAAAGTCTCCAAACGTCCACCGTTAAATAAAACCGAGAAAGTTACTGATGAAACACAACACATCACTGTGTCGGTAAAGCGAGTACTGATCCCCTGCTTCAACATGACGGCTCTCAAGTAACTCCACTCCAATCTGTCATAAGCCTTCATCATATCTAGCTTGAGTGCACAAAACCGGTTACCCTTGACCCTCCTGGTCTTCATATAATGCAAACATTCATAGGCTGTAATGAAATTGTCTGTGATTAAGCGCCCAGGCACGAACGCCGACTGCTCTTCAGAGATCACCTCGGGAAGAATATGCTTCAGCCTATTTGCCAAAACCTTAGAAGCGATCTTGTAGATCACATTACATAGGCTTATCGGCCAAAACTGTCCTAGATTTTTTGGACTCGATATCTTGGGTATTAATACGATGAACGTACTGTTTATCTCCTCCGGCGAATCCTCTCCTGCAAGCACTCTTATGGCCATGCTTGTCACCTCATCACCACACAACTCCCAATGCCTCTGAAAGAAATGCGCGGGAAATCCATCAGGCCCCGGTGCCTTTGTCGGAAACATCTAAAAAAGTGCTTCTTTCACTTCCTCTTTCGTGTATTCCGCATTGAGGCGAGCGTTCAAATTCGCTCCAACCTTCCGAGGAATGTGTGACAGAACCTCCTCCATACCTATCGTTCCTTCTGATGTATAAAGATTGAGTAGAAAGCGGTGGCCATATTTGCTAGCTCACCAGGGTCCGAACTGACCGATCCATCGCCTCTTTCCAGCTTGGAGATATTGTTCTTGGCTCTCCTCCCACTAGCCTTCCGCTGGAAAAATTGTGTGTTACTATCGCCCTCAGCCAGCCACTGTATGCGAGAGCGTTGCCTCATCATAATTTCCTCACGATAGCATAACTCAATCAGTTCCTCTTGTACCTTTTTCTCCTCCATTCCTGGGCCAACTCGAAGGGGATCCTCCCTGAACTCTGCTAGTCTCCTCCGCAGCCTTCTTAACTCCTGGCGTACTGATCCAAAGGTGTTCTTACCCCAGCGAGCAAAGGATCCAGCAACCCTCTCTAATTTATTTGCCAACTCCGCCACATTGGCTGCGGGCTGTCCTTCCGTCCACACTTCCAGCACAAATCCCTCAAAACGGGAGTCTGACTCCCACATACACTCATAACGAAAGGGTCTTTTGAGTGCAATGTGTATATTATTTGCTTCTAGCTCATTGTATAACAGAATGGGGCAATGGTCCGATTTCGCTGCAGTCAGGTGCTCAACACTCGCAAATGGAAACATTGCGGACCAACCTGGAGTGGCCAGAGCTCGATCAAGACGGACCCTGCAGTAATCTCCTCCTGTCACTCGTTTCTCGAAAGTCCAATCCAAACCCTTGTAACCCAAGTCAGCTAACTCGCACACATCCACCGCCTCTCTGAAACCAGCAATCTGCGCACTGTCACGTTGATTCGGCCCCATCTGCTCTTCCGGTCTAAGGATTTCATTAAAGTCCCCAATACAAACCCAAGGGAGAGTACTTTCTCCCCGCAAAATTTTCATCGTATCCCATGTTTTATATCTGAGACTCCTGTTGGCTTCACCATAGAAAACAGATAGACGCCATTGATCCTTGCCCGGTTCTGTTACAAAAGAGTCAATGTGATACTGGGAAAAGGTTTTTATTTCTAGGTTTATTCCTTGTTTCTAGAAAATACAAAGGCCGCCACTGCGACCCCTACTAGCAACCGCAAATCTCTCCGAGAAACCTAAATTCGCCGCCAAACCTTCCACACGATACTTCGCTAACTGTGTCTCCACCAAGCAAAGCACCGTCGGCGCACTAGCCTCCACGAGCTCGCGGAGCTCTCGGACCGTCGCGGGATCGCCAATCCCACGACAGTTCCAGCACAAAGTCCGCATCAGGATTGGCGGCCCTCCTCATGGGAGGCCGCCTCAGTTAGTTGCTCCATGTCCTCATCACCTTCCCTTCCATCCTGTCTCCTCCGCTTCACAATTGGCACCTTGCCGGGAGTGCTTGTCGCTGGATCAGTATTTGTTTTCGACGTCGCCCCCTCGATCATAAGGACAGTACCCGAAACTTTCCCAGCCAAGTTCGGAACAGACTGTCCTCTAATATTCATGGATCCATCTGCTGACACTAACCGCTTTCGAGCGTTTGAACTATGTGGCTGCTGCTCAGTATAATCCATCATTGTATGCTCAAAGTTGCTATTAGCTTGTTTCCTCTTTCATTTCATTTCAAGTGTGTGAAGCTTATTTCCTCTTTGAGAAGATTTTGGACCATATGCGCATGTGCATAGGCACTAGGCCCAGCCCATAGGCTGGCTGCACCGCGCTAGGTTTCGGGCCGTGAGCGAACGGTTCCCAGCCCACCGAAGGTCCCCGTCGTCGATCGATTCCATGAAAGGTTCCTGATTTACCTCAAAAAAAAAAAATGAAAGGTTCCTGATTTTTTTTCCTTCTTTGTCTTCTGCTAGCATCGGCTGCTACCCCTGCCATGTTTGGGCATGAACGCAGCCCGTGGGTGCCGGTTCATTCTTTCGAGCGCATCTTTTCTTTCTCTCGCTCTCCTTCGAATCCAACCATGGCAGCCCCTCCTTCCATTACTCACCATCACCCATGGCTTAGCACAAAAGAGAAATTAGGCGTGGCAGGAAGCGAGGCAGCAGCGTCCATGTCCCTCCCTTGGCCGAAAAGACCCTAAGCCCCCAGCGCATCGCCGCCGGGCCCCTCTGCAGCACCGTCTCCGGCATCTTGCCAAAGGGTGTGTAGACCTTGCCGGATCCGCCCTGCCGCCGCGGATCCAGTATGAGTTCCCTACTCCGAGAACCCCGCGTCTATTAGTTCTCCGTTAGTTGATTTGGCTTGAGAAATTGCTTTTCCTGGGTTGAGATTTGGTCTCCTTGACTGAATCGGAGCTGGTGTGTATCTACTTCTTTGGCAGTTTATTGTGTCGTTTGATGATAGGTCTACTCTATATGCCATCTTAAATCTTGATACAGGTGAGTTGCTTCTGCTTCAAACTAGCTTTTCATCCCTTCTATTTGAAAACACTATTTGTGTGTACTACTTCTGAATCTGAATTTGAGAACACTAAATGGCATATGCTTCTTTTTGCGAAAAAATGGCATATGCTTCAGAATTCGCACCAGTGACACAAGGCGAGCAATTCTGTACACCTCTTTATTGGAACGAGTGGTCCTCCCCCTTTGTTAGCTAGTAGTACTACGTTTTTTTTGGCAAAATGTCCCAAATTGTGGAGTTAGAGTTGGGATGATGCCGTACGAACTCGTTCGGTAATTAGCTAGTGTCTCAAGTGAATTTTTTGCACAAGAATTTGATGTTATGTATATGGTGAATTACTTTTGACATAATTCCTGTGTTTTAGTATCACTACCTTGACCAAAAAGTTATGGGATTTAAACCATTCCACAGTAGAGGAAAACAAGATAATCATTATGTTAGCAAATCCAAGTTTTAAGCCTGTGCATCATTTCACTTGGACGAACAAAGGTGAATACAAAATAAAGTTTTTTACTCATGAGTAGTGGAAAGCTTGTTCGGATGCTAAATGAAATAACTGTTTTTCCCTTCAGATGGATGATCAAAGGTGAACATTGGTGACTAAATTATTCTTGGTTTGAGATTTTGAGAAATCTGGTGGGTGCTACATTATTTTCCATATTGTGCATCAAATTTGATGGGTGAAATAATTGTATTTGTGTTCTGAAACCAAGTAATCTTATGTACAGACGTTCAAGATTTTAATGTTGAGATCTTTTAGCGAGACTTGCTTTTGTTTACGTATGCGTAAACGTACTGTTAGCTAGGCTTCCACTGGTTAACCTCGAATTTAAATTGTACCTCTCCTCATAAAGGATGCAACTATTATCTGCAATGAATAAAGTCGTGTTTTGTTTTTTTAAAGGCTTCCACTGGTTATGTTCAATTCTTATGACCGCATAAGGCTCAAAGCTACCTGTTCTGCATACCGTCGTTGATGGTGGAGGTTGAGCCCTCCCGCGTGCTGACGATGCTGTTGCCTCTGTCCCGGCTCCTCTTCTTTGGTATGCAGACCTCTCTTCGTGGTGTCGTGGTGAGATGGCGTGAGAAGCTTCAAGACCCCTTTTTCTACCTCTTTTTAGGCTTGGTGACGGCCAGCTGCACTGTCGCAGCGCCCGTTTTGAATGCATAAGGTAGATCATGATCTACCTTTCCTTTCAAAAAAAAAAAAAAGAAGAAGCTTCAAGACCATGGTGGCGTATGGCGGTGGTCGGTTTTGGTGGCGGGCTTCGAAGCGCCCGAGGTGAAGGTCAGGATCGGGAGAAATGCCTGTCGGCCTGGCCGACACCGACGCGGTGGCGCCTGAGGGTGCTGCCGGACCTTCCTGAAGGGCGTCGGGGCTACCCTTCTTTTTTCCTCGCCGCGTTACCGGGGAAAACCCTTGGCGGCAGCGTCGACATCGTCGCGTC